TTTAAAATTAATTAACGTAAAATTAGTACGATTGATTTTCGTCGTCGGCCGTCCTCTCTCTCTCTCTCTCTCTCGTCGTCTGGCCGCGGTCTCCGACGCCCACGCCACGAGATGGAGTTCACAGGTGCGGCTGGCAACCTGTATCTTCGCGTGGATGCGCGCGCGTGTCGCACGCACACGCGTTCCAAAGCGTGCGGCTGCGTGATATACTCGGCCCTTGTTCGCCTCGTTACGCTACGGGTGAGGCCGGCCAGCCCGTTTCGGCCGCATCATCCGGAATTCCTCCGTGCCCTCTCTTCTCTCCGTGTCTCTCCTTTTTCGGGAATTCTTCTCCGCTACGTGATAAAACCATCGCTGGGAAAAATTGAATTTCATTCCCGGAATTGTAGTCGTTTCAAACCAACCTGCCTCTTCGTGGAATTTTCTTCCTTTCTTTTTTTTCTTTTTTCTTTTTTTTCTTTTCTCGTCAGTTGGAAAATTCTCAGGGAAGGAGTGAGAGAGAAAGGGAGGGAGAATAATTTCTTATTTCGGTTTTGAGTTTATTTCGGTTTAAATGAGCAGAGAAGAAGAATCAATCGAGAGTTTAAGTTTAGGTTATGATAAATATATGATCGATTGATTGAAAAAGTTTTGGTATTCGTTTAAGTGGTTTTTTGTCGGCATTCTATAATATTTATCCAGCCTCGATGTGGGAAAGAAATCGAATTGATGAGTAGATCCGATATTGTGGCGAAAAATAACTCGGTAAAAAGGTCTCAAGGTAATGGAAAGGAAGAAATTCTTTGGAGCGTGGAATCGTTTAGATAGACGTTGAACGGCAGGCTGCAACTTGTCATAAATCAAACATCACAAACGCAAAGAAATTTCATTTTATCCTCGCCTCTTGGAATGGTACAGCCGAGTACTGTTCACCTAGTAGTATATCTAATCATCATCTTCTCTAACCCCACCTTAGATTTTACTCCCTAACGTTCTATTATATCCGTTCCCTACATTTATTTTATTACCAGCCTTACGAATTTCGCTCAAAGTTCATTCTTCGAAGAACCAACTCTATCGATTAATTGTCAACGAAACATTTTCAATTTTGAAATAGCCTATCTAGATCGTAGCTCACGAAGATCGAAAATTGCCCAAAATCAAATTTCCCCTTCGAAGAAAATCGTGTAAACACATCGTTCGGAGACGAATGAGCGAAGCGCGTATCCAACGGTGTCTAACGTGATTAAGTAACTAACCGGTCGTAAAGGGACGTCGAGGTGTAATCCTTGTAAACGCATAAATTGCCGTATATTTAAGATAGCGGCGGCGTTATTCGGATAGGTCTGGGCAGCGGTGGTGAGTTAATGTCCGGGGCCACCTAGGCGGATCACGAGCCACGCCTCGTCTCGTACCGAAACTCACGGTTTCTTTACGGCCGTGGAAATCGTGGCAGAAAACGCGCGCGTTTTATAGCAGCGAGTGGAAGCGGCGAGGCGCCCCTCTTCCCTGGTATTAAAAGGGAAATGGACGTTCCTATTTCCTCCTCTGGATCCAGCCTGGACGCGAAGGTGGTGGTCCAGGATCGTTCGTCTCAACCGGCCTGTTGGTTGTTTATCTTGCGGGGGTGCCATTCGTTCGTAACCCGGGCCCGGTTACCGTTTCTATGCGTTCATTGTTTCTACGAGGCGAGCGTGAAATACGCCTGATCGCCGTGATCCTCGATCGTTTCTCGAGATCTCCCCGGGTATTGTTGGATTCAAGTACGGAAAATTTTAACGGCCTCTCCCTTCGCGGCCGATCTGACGCGTGATGGATTTAAGTGGTACGAGTTTATGAATGGATACGGAGGGGGGCGTTACGCGTATTCGTGTCTCGAGTTGAGACGTTTCACGGTATTGTCTGGTACGTTTAAAGGACGAGTTTCTTTGTGGTAAAAATTTCATTTTTATATCGCGTTTCCGTTTTCTTAAGCAAGGATATTTGCAGGATATCGAAGGGGCTATATATTTAAGTCGAAACATATGCGGGAACACAATTTTAAACATCTATTCTATCTCCATTTAATCGTTTGTTCATTCACATTCACATTCGCATTCCAATTTTCGTCGAATTAAAAAATGATTAATCGAACCAAACCGATCGAACTCCTCGATTATCGATCAATATGTTCAATCGTGTCACCGATCGGTCCCACGATTCGCTCCCACGAATTTCTCTGACACGTTCAGAGAAAAAAAAAGAAAAGAAAAGAAAAGAAAGAGAAAAAGAAAAAAAAGGAAAAGAAAGAACGAAGAAGAAGAAGTAGGTTCTGTTAGAAACGAACAATATCTTCGTTACGAGGAGACATCATTATTTGATCCAGCATCGAGAGACGATCTCTCACGGTGCATTCTCGAGGACACGAGAGGAACTCGAAGGTGTCGTGAAGGTTTCTCCAATCGTGTACGGAGATTGAATTCACCGTGTTCCCCGGGTTAGTTAGACCCTGGACGGGGAGGGAGAGGAGGCCGCGTAGAGACAGTAATTTACATGACAACGAAATTCTGGTTCGTAACCCGCTTCTGACCCTCCTTATCGTGATCTCCCCCGATTCTTCCATATTTAAAGGAGCTCCGGCCAGTGACCCGCAGATCCTTACACGCCGTGGGCTCGCATACGTGGTGGAAGGTGGCACACCGAGCGACACGTAGGGCACAGGTGCTGCGGCCCGATCGTATCGAGGCCACCGATCATTGTATCGAGACGAGACCGCCGAACGAATTTCCATAAAACGGCCGCCAGAGATATACGGTATTGTCCCGCATTGGTCGCCGTCCCATCCCTCAACCCCGGCCTCCGGATCAAGATCGAGATCCGTTCGTGTCGAGGTAAATTCGTATCGATCGCGTAAATAATGCTTTCCACCGGATCCCTCGGTTGGAATGGGAAACCGACTCGTGACACGTGGACACGAATGATTTTCAAACGATTTTTTGGAATCGGGACGAATTTTGAGAGAATTTCAGATTTGAGAAGTTGCCGGTAGAAATATCTAAACTGTCGAATTTCCAAAAAGAAGAAAAATTTCCTTTCTATCCGAATGAACGAATGAACAGACGTGTCTAAGAAATTTCACGGATTCTTATAGGATAGAAGAATTTTTTGTAGTAAGAGTTGATCGAAACCTCTTTTCCCCCTCCAGAAAAAGATCACCATCGATCCTCGAGTTAAATTTAGCGCCTCGCGGTACCGGACGTCCTCCTCCGGCGTCTTGAAAAACATTCCTGGTTGACAAGCATAGATGACGGGGATGCGATATCGTGCTTCATCATCGTCATACAGGCATTCTTCGTTCTAACGAAAGCAAGGTGGGCAGCAGCCGTTTCTCTTAGCCACAATTCCCTCGGCTAGGTGATGTAGTGCGGCTGAGTGATTTCACAAAGGAAGCGGAGAGTTAGAGTCCCGACTCGTTATGCCTAAATAATTTTTTTCGTCGTTTATACCCGTGGAACACGCTCTCTCTTCCCCTGTACACTGGTGTTGGTTCACCGGTGAACAGTGGAAGGGAGAGATTTAAGGGAAACGACGAGGTAAAGAAGAAGAAGAAGAAGAAGAAAAGAAGAAGGAGAGGAGGCAACCACGGAGAGACGCAACCTGTCCCATGCATCTTGTGGGCAGGGGCGCTTCCGTCAGCATCTACGGATTCATTAGAGAACAATAGGATGATGAGTGCAGTCCGTGAGTTGTAACAGACTCGAGACGTTGTGGATAAGAAGAACGCGCGGTTGGAGAAGAAGGCATAAAAAGAATGGAGGAAGGGAGAGGTGAGCAAAGGCGCGTGTATGGTAAGAAGCAGCATCGTAAAGGATTTTCTTATATGGATTTTCTTCGCTGGCAATGTTCAATTTCATACTCTCACGTTGCCATAACAGGATCAGTGAACGTGACGTGATCGAGAAATAAAAATGGCAACGGATGGAAATTCGAAAGTATCTTTTCAACGATTAATCGATAGATCTTTCATTTTCTATGTATATATATATATATATTTTAAAAGACGTAAGTGTTCTATAAATAGGTATACACGCATACTTATCTTCTTTTTTTCTTCTTTCACCGGCTTGGAGCTCTCCTTCTCCTTTTTTATTTTTATTTTTTTTTGTAGCCACAACGAAGTGCGCAGCAGAGAAAGGGTACGTAGAGGAGTATGTAGATTCAGGACAATGCGGTCCTATTAACGAGATCAAACGATACAAGGAGACGACCGCCGTGGTCCGGTACTGCGCTCCCGCCAACCAGGGATGCACGTTCTTACACTGTTCTTTCTTCGCGCTACTTTCTCGAATAATAGCCCGAGAACTACCTGAAAATCCCCTCGAATCAATTATCTGTAACGAAAAAACGCAAAAAAGGAAAATCTCGAAATTCAAAGATCATCCTTCTTCTCATCCACAATGCTAAGAACAAAGCATTGTATAATTCAATTTTTGAATTAACCCAAACTGTTTCTGGCGGTGATTCCATTTCTCTCTGTTAGAAGAAAAACGAAATTGCAAAGTATTGAAATTATTCGATCGTTCTCGATACGATGGATCATCAAGACGTCCGTTTTTATTAGACACACAGTTTTATTAGAAATCCGTATTCACTCCTCCATTCTATCGATCAACGTAGGAGAAGAAGAGTGGAGAGTAAGAATGGACTCGGAGAAAAAGTTGGCTTTCTCTCGTCCGGCGTATAAGCAGATGCGCGCATGGGCGAAGATGCATCGGAAACGTTATGTTAATATTAAGGGGAACTGCGTGCAGGACCGTAGGTGCTTTCCAGGAATCTCTCGCTAGTCCTGCGGCCCTGACGATGATAAGGCCCGCAGCACGACGGTGGCGGCGTTACAGGGCAGCGAGGATTTACAGAGGCGACAGACCGATACACCACATCCCTATCCCCCCACGGCTTCCTCGTCCTCTTTACCTCGCTTCGCTCTACTTTGCCTCGCCTCCCACTTTTTACACCCGGCCCGAGATCCCTCGCTTCTGTTACGGTGGCCAGTACGTACCACCAGTATGTAAATGCACCTCGGCTAAACCGGCTATTCATCCTCGCGCCGATATATAATTTATCCGCATAATTCGCATTTTACCACCTCGAAACGTTGCCATCCTCCCTTCTATTAAACCATTTCCCTCCCCCCCCTCTCCTTCGTTCTTTCGCCCTCTCTTCGAATAAATTATCGAAGAAATTGGTAAACTCTTCGATTCGCGCTGATTTATCATTCGATTTATTATTCGTCGGTCTCGACTCGTCCTTCTTGACCGTATTAATTTACGATCCGTAAATTACGAAGAAGAAATTATTATTAGAAAGATATTGCATGTATTATTATTGCTTAATAGCGTAATAGTGATGATTTTGAGAGAATGATTCTCTGAAATATTTCGATGTTCGAAGAATCAGCAGGTACACACATACGTACATACACGTAGAAAAATCCATGGAATGGTTGGAAGGAGGTCCGTGGTAAGCACGTAAGTACGCGGCTTCGTGTATCAAGAGCACGACGAGGGTGGAACAGCGGGCACCGTTGAATCGTATGCAAAAGAAGAGCGATGCGCAAGTAAAAGAGAAAAAAGAGAGAGAGAGAGAGAGAGAGCAAAGAGAAAGAACAAACGACAGTCAGGCAGCCGAGGGCACAAGAGACGAGGGACACGAGCGAACCAGATTGCTTTAATTGTTGCGCGTCCAGCAAAAATGTTAATGCCCGTCGGCCGCTCGTAATTCAGCCATGCCGGCCTCTCTCTTTCTTTCCCTCTTATCCACGCTCGATTTTCCATCTTCCTTCGTCCCCGCTCCGATGTTTAGCCTCTTTCACGCGTTACAGTACACAGTGGCCCTTATCTGCGGTTTTATGTTCGGCTTTGCGTTTCAGCGACGCCGATCTTTCGCGCCCAGAATCCACGAAGGACGACCCAATGGTATTCTCGATCACGGGGTTGAACCGGGATTGGATACCTCGTGTTTTCTCCAACCGTAAGTGCGCGATAAGGTGTTAAGAAAAATTTATGTATTCTTGATACGGAAATACTTTTTTCACCTTAATAACAATATTTGTCTCTCTGTCGCGGTATGTTAAGATGCATTATTCGTTTGAGAGAATATACAGGAGAGGAGAAGAATTAATCGCAAATTTTTACAATTATACGTTGGATCGATTACTTTGGAAATTAGAAATTTTTGCGAAACAACGTATCCTATTTTTAAAATGATCAAAATTTGATCACGCGATGATCGAAAAGAGAACAACGACTCCCTTCGTTATATATTTTCAAAGTTCCCTTTCAAAGTTTCACTTTACGTATAATCCGATGCGCTCGATAAAGTAATCTACCCTTTAAAGGGGATCACCTTACGATTCCGTGATCTTAAACGCGCGGAACCAACCGCGTAACGTACCGATAATAAACGAAACGGTTGTAAAACCGGGCCGCCTCGTATCCTCTTTAAATTACAATTAATCGTGGATGAATTATTCATGAAACGACGATCCGGTAACACCCTGTAAATACCTGCCCAATAACCGATATCGATAACGTAATGCCTAATAATCCGTAGACACCGTCCAGGTGTAAAACCGAATGTCCATAATTTTCTCTCCGCTATCCGCTATCCGCGGAGGGAGAGAGCCGTTGCAAGACCTCTATTACAGAATTTATTGCGTGGACAGGGCTAAGTATGATAGCCGGTCCCGGTCTAGCCGCGCTATATTCACGACGAGCCGGCCGTTGAAGTGCATCGAAACGATTCAGATAAAACGGCGTGTTGCGCGGATGAAAACGAGGCGGCGGCGTTTCGCGTAATCTTGCGCGAAACCGGCCCGTTTTTCTCCCCGATTTTTCACACGTTTCTCCTTCTTCGTCCTGTCCAAAGAATCCCCCCCCCCTCTTTTTTTTTCTTCCTCCTTTCCTCCGCGACGATGCACTTCCGACAGATCCTGCGGAGCAGCGTTGCACTTGTCGCGTCCACTTTCCCGGCCGTTTTCACACGAACGAAGCTGTGGGAACCGCTCTCGCTCGCTGCACCCAGTCGCTGCAGCCTATGTCGACCACTTGGAAACGACACCCCACAAAAAACCGACCCCCTTCCGCAAACACTACTCGGCCGGCCGCGCCTGTGCCCGCCAAGGTGGCCCGTTATGACCGTGTGGGAGAGTATCGATAAAGTCGTATCGTGAAATTCGCCTTTGGATATTGGTTTCTCTTCTCGTTAGGAACGAGATCGTGGCCGTCAGATTTCCCATCTCTTTCGATTAATGCTTCGTGCTTTTTACGGGGACAGAGGGGCGCATGAATTGTTATTGGGTGAACTTTTTTCTTTTTCCGTTGGTGAAAACGAAAGAGACGCGAAATCACCACGATCGAGTTATATTTTTATAGGATTTTCTTTGAATTGAATAATTATTACTTAGCAAGTACTTAGGTGTGTATTACTTTTTTTTTTTTCGTGGCAAAAGTGAAAGAGAAAATATTGAAATTTGTCGTGAACGATGGCTTCGTAAGGGGGGCAGGAAAGATAAATCAAAGTAATGGAGTCGAAGATTTCCCACAAAGGGTGAATGGGAGGAAAAAAAAAGAAAAAAGAAGAGGTCGAGTAAAAAGCGTAACCAGACGTCATCGAGGAAAGATCTAACTGGATAGATTTTCCCGCGTGTAAGTGTTTGTCTTAAATATTATTTTACGAGCGAGCCACTTCTGAATCCCATTCATAGAGACTTCGAACAAATATTGTCCGATCGTTTTGCAGCCTTCGTTTCATTAACGATGTTCATTTCTCCCTCCCCCATTCTCTTTTTCTCCCTTAATCTCTCCAATCCCGTCGCGCGACATCATCCATCGAATTTTTTCTTTTTTTTTTTCCCCTCCCTTTCGTCGTCGTTTCCGTGCGTTCGATCAACATCAGAAGTTTCTTACGCTGTTGACAGTGGTACCCTTTTTAAAAAGGGTGGCGGAGTAGGCCAAGAGATCTAGCCAAGGGACCAAGTGCGAGATTGCATCTGTCGCTGCGGAAACGGCTGCGCCCGCGACTTCCGTTCCTCTCCAACGTGTTCCCCCACCCTCGAGGGAGATTAATAGTCTGTTACGCTGCTTGGCAGGGAATCTCGGGCAAGTGCAGTTGGAATTCTGGCGCGAAATTTGTACTTGTTTTCAGATTTTTAATTTTTTTTTAATAACGAAATTAAAAAAAAAAGATTACAAAAGGTTCGAGGATTCGAATTTGATTTAAAGATCTTTTTAATGGATAAAAATAGTTCGGAAAGTGTAAGAAAGAGGTATATTTGAATATCGATAAGGGTTAATTAAATTACTTTTTTGACATATTCGTAATTGGGACGATTAATAACATTCTTTTTACGCAATTTTCATCTTTCACGAGTCAATTGGCAAAAATTTCGCCATTACGCATTCGTTGGAGGGGAATTTTTCACTCGGCCACGATTGCACAATGACACGAAAGCCGGCCGGGTTGAAGGATCGGGGACGAGAAATATTGAATTTCGAATGAGGCTGGCGATTAATCACGCGGGCCAAAATGACAAATGAACGAGGTACCTTTGATGATCCGCGTACATCGTTTAAAAGACGCTTAAAATCGTGGTTACGTGGCCCATGGGAGCAGATGTGTAGCGCAACGAGGCTCGAAGCCGAGCGTAATCGCCGAGACAGGACGTCAAGGCGAGGAGGTCGCAGGGTCGAGAGTCCGCGAAACTCGCGCTCCTCTCACGGCTGGTGGTCCCAATCCATTGGTTTCAACGAAGGCGCCGATCTCGCGAAAACCATCACGGTTCATGATCGGCCCTCGCTTTCTAAGAAAGATCAACAACCCGCGGAACAGATGTTTCGTTATCCCTCGATACACTTTGCGTCATCCGTAATTTTAATATGCCATCGGTTTTTTCATTTCATTGTCGCAAATGGATCTCGTAATGTTTAACGTCCCTTTCAACATCCACGCGACGAAGTTTCAATTCGAGTTTCATCCGCTCGATGAATCTTAATATCGCAACAGTAAAACAAAGAAATGTCTTGTTCTATATCCGTCTCCTGTGCACGGAGGAAGCGAAAGGGTCAATTCAATCGATTTTTAATGGAACGGAATCAGTTGGATTTCGTATCGCTTTTATTATCGTGGATCACGGTGGAATCGAAATTACAATCACGTTTACGGCTCGATCCTGACACCAGGATTATTCCATTTCGACAAGTTCGTTCTTTATCGGGATTTCCATAAATATTTGCCACGCGTGACACACGCATCGAGAAGTATGTTAATTCCGTTCTGCGTTGCCGAACCGGTGGGGGCTCAATGACCGCGCTCGATACGCCTTCTCTCGCCCGATCATACGCGTTGCGTTCAAAACATTTGCCCGGTGGAAAGATCGAAATTCATCGGCGCCGATAACGAGCGCCGAACGTTGACAAAGGACCCTATCTGG